ACTATAGCTGAATTTTCCGAGCGTGCATATCTAGATAGCGGATATGTTGTAGAACTACTAAAGCCAGACGGGTATAAAACACATAAATTATGTATGCACACAACAAATAATAGCAAAACTGCAAGCAGCCACAAGATTGAAAAAAGGCAGAAAAAGTACATTGAGGAACACTTCAACTGATCTAGATCGCAAGGCGCAACAACTGGTCCAGTGTCTGAGGCGACTATTAGGCCAGACCGATGGAAAAAATCGATCTCACGTACCTCGTCCATTTCCTCGAGATGCTTGAACGTTGTGGAGTAAATATCTCTGATATGTGGATGAAGGGTGCTGGTATCGAACCGCTTCCCAAACAGCATTTCGTCCACCGAATCCTGCGGTGGAACGTCGGGTATTTTGTTTTGGGCTGCCCTACACTCGATTATTCCCATCATATGTGTCAGGCCAAAGTCATTCTTGGGCAATATCACACGCGGAGCTGTCTCCCGAAATTGTCTTGGAGAGTGTGAAAGAGGAGCCGTCATGTTGGTCGGCGTGGAAGGAGTTGCGGTCCTGTACACAGACACCTCTGAAAGAGCGGAATTCTGTCTCTCATGAGGCGGTGCTCGACGTTGATTAGCACTGGGGGTCACACTTCGAGATTCCGATCGCGTGTCTGAGTCTCCAGGGCTTGCAGTTCTGTAGCTGGAGAGACGAGAAAGAGGCGAGGCAACTCGCTGGTTAGTAGTATTGGCAGCGGAGGATGACCTCTCGCTGAGCGCTTGAGTGGGCGTTGTTGATCGGGATTCTATTATTTCGGCCATTCTGACACCTTAAAGGACATGAGCCATTGCCATATCCAAAAAAGCATTGATGTAGACTCACCGGAAGATGGCTGCAAGACAGGCGTTCGACCCGTACTTTTCTCATGCTTGATCTTGCTAAGAACACGCTCCAATTTTGCTCCCAAGCCGTCCTTACCACGAGCTAAAACACCATGCAGCAAGTCGTCCCCCGACGCCTGATTACCACGACCAAACTGAGGCCCAACCTCACTTCGCCACTCTTTCTCGACAATGTCGCTGATATCGTAGGTCTCTCCGTCGGGCTCGACGTATGAATATCGCATTTTGTTATCAGCATCGTACCGAGAGCTACGGATCATGGCATTCCCAGGTAACAGAACGTCTAGTCCGCGAGCAGAATTTGTCTGGGCAGAGAGTATGGCGCGCTGTGTGGCACTCCTAGCAGCACGCTGAGCCGCGATAATTGCCTGCTTGGACGCCTGGGAAGACGCCTGAGATTTGACTTCATCCACTGGGCCTGTCGTGGAATCAGATCCAATGCTCGAGCTTGCGTTTGAGTCGCGGTGCAAGTGCTGTAGAGCGATCTCATCGAGTGGAGCTGACAACCTATGGCGCGAATTTGACTGCTTGTATGTGATGGCGCGGCGTAAAATGAACACCGGATCATCCGCTTGAACATCGTCGGAAGTGCCGAGTAACATTTGAGCTGAATCCACAGACCGGCGCTTGTTTCCGCGCTCGACCGCTCGGTAGTTGGGAGGACGAGGGAATGCATCGATAACTTTGCTAGATGGCGAAAGTTCCCTATCTAGGAAAACTTGAGTACGACGGCGCGTCACCGCTTTTGTAGCGCAGCTTACCTTTACCGCCGACTTCAACAGCCAATCCATAGCGGACTCTAGAAGAGCTTCTGCGTTTCGTGAGCTTATCCTCGACTTCATCACCGCCGTCGACGACACCTTCAAGAATACCAAACCTCTCCAAACCCAGTTCAATGACCTCGGCGACGGTGACGTTCTTCGGGAACGCGAATATCTTTTTACGCATGGCCTGGGAAATTCCCGGCGAAGGAGCAACGTTGTGGTGCGACCGATCGCGCAAGGTGTTCTTAAACACGATCGCCTCCGTGAGTGGGTCAAATACCATGTCGTCGGGAAGGTCGTTCGGATAAATCGCCAACTGCAGCGCAAATCTAACAGAAGGCGAGCTGAAACGCTCTGCGGTCACACCATTCGGACTGGTAGTCAGTACGCTCAGGTATTGCGGCTTTGCCTTGGTTGGAGAAAGCTCGCCATCCTGCCCTTGGAAACTCTCTGCCTGCAGAGTATCATCTCCATCATAGTCCAAGAACGTGTCGTCCTCTTCATCACCTCGCCTGTTCAAATAAATCTTTACAGCCGAGTCGTCCGTGAAGTCATTCATAGGCAGCTTCTTGATAGCAGGGTGCATAGACAGATTGCTTGCCACGGAGCTGATACTTCCGACACTGCTGCGCTTCACTTTCGGTAAGTCCATCGCTGCCTCAACGAGCGATTCGAACAAGCCAAGCGGCTTCTCGTGAGGGAGCAGCGCTGCGGACGAGCCTTCGACCTGCTTGATGGTCAAATAATACTCCTTTTCATCCTCTCCCGCTGGCAGCCTGAAGCGCTGGATGGCCTGCCGGACCAGGTCAGACGCTGTAGTGGATGAATTGAGCAATACCGTCTTGAACGTCGCTTCGGTCTGCAGATGGTCTCCAGCAAAGATCCGGACGACATTTAGATCGGGCATGATGACGTTCTGACCGTCGATCCCCGAGGGCGACAATATGAGCGAGCCAGGCCGCGGCCGCGAACCGCCCACACTTAAGCCGGATGCAGAGCTTATAGATGAGCCAAATGATGTGGTATTCTGTAAGATGGAAGATACCGACGGCTGTGCTTCAGGCGGAGTCGATGGCGAGCGGTTTAAGTACTGCTGATACAACGCCTGCTGCTGTTGATCGCGCTGGCGCAATTGCGACGCATGGTGCGATATTTGTGCCATGGCTGCCTGCGGGGGCGTCCGTGGTTGATCGCTGGATGTCTGCTGCTGCTGCTGC